ATATTGACCTTGGATTTAATTGCTGTTACGCTGATCACTCTTTATAACATTCTGGAGTATATGCAAATTGCTGTTATAAAAACTGAAGCAGTAGACTTTGTAAATATTAACATTTGAATCATTCTAAAAACTTTTGGCCATGACTGTACTGAGGAGGAACTCTGGGTTTGATACAGATGGTATGTTTGTTCTGGTTTAAAGGGTTCTGTTTTCTGTCTTTGATAAACTCTGGTTCTGTTTAAACTATTGCAGAACCTCAGGTCTTGGTTCCTTTGGAACCATAAGTGGATAAGGGTAAGTCCAACAGTAATTATTCAGAAGAAAAGCTAAATGACTGAAAGATAAAGAGAATTTATGGAGAAAAGGAAGAGCCTGTTCAGGAAGTTGCTCCACTGGAGGCTGAGCAGGAGCCATGAAGCTGGTTGATGGAAGAAATTCACCATCCTCAGTTTTAAAATGAAAAAACTCCACCAAATCATAAGAGATTTGTTCTCCGGTGTCTGGGGCTACAGCAGCTGCTTCATGACGTTCCTGTTGAGGGTTTTTTGGATTAGAAGACAAGCTGTAAAGGGAACGCTGAAAATACACTTCCCCTAAACATGAAACTAAAGGCGTCGTTGTGATGGGTTTCCCCCGTCAGCGGCGAGCATTTCCTGCAGCAAAACATCAGAAACAAGCAGCGCAGCCTCAGGCTTCCTGGACGGCTCGCTGCAGCTGCTAACGAGGTGTGTTGATACAACAACGAGCGGAAAAGGTCAGCATGATGGCCGCCTGGGTTAATCATGACTCAGGTCTTAGGTGAGGAATCCCCCCCCCCAGCTGATCGATCAACTTAAGATGTGTGTCAACATCTGAGACTCAGCCGGAGGCCAGAAAGGGTTAATTCAAGCCTCCATGAGCCAATCAGCAGGGAGAGAAGTTCAAACAGACAGGTGTGGGTCAGGGACGACACAGGAAGGATGGAGCCGCATTGGTCCGTCACTGTCAGACACACCTGGAAACACCTGGAAGAGCAGCCATGTTGTTTCATTCCATGGTAAACCAGGAAAGGAACGTTCTGCCTGAAGGAAAAGGTTCTGGTACAGCAGGTCAGGCAGTCCAATTTCAGGCTGACCAGGACCTGCAGTGATTGATTATTTATAGATAAATAGCAAAGGTTTTGCTCATTTTAACAGGAAGTCCAACTGTGTTGAAACTATAAAATAAAAGTTTATCGACACCTAAAAACCAACCAAAACTGGACAGGCGATAAAATCTCCTTTATTTACTCATTTCTATTTGTCAGTTTCAGCTTAAAGTCATTCAGTTAGATCCATCGATTCAATTTAATTTGATGCTTATTTCTACACCGACCAGGAAACACAGAGTCAGCATTTAAATTAAAACACTGATTTCAGCATATTAGAAATGTAAGCTTTTATGGACCTTCAAAATAAAACCGTTGCTGCCTCCATAACCATGGTTCCTCTAAGGATCCCATCAGGTTCCCCAAAGGTTCCATCAGGTTCCTCTAAGGGTCCCATCAGGTTCCTCTAAGGGTCCCATCAGGTTCCTCTAAGGGTCCCATCAGGTTCCTCTAAAGGTTCCATCACTCCTCTTATGGTTCCTTTAAGGGTTCCATCAGGTTCCTCTTAGGGTTCCTCAGGTTCCTCTAAAGGTTCCATCACTCCTCTTATGGTTCCTTTAAGGGTTCCATCAGGTTCCTCTTAGGGTTCCTCAGGTTCCTCTAAAGGTTCCATCACTCCTCTTATG